AATACTTCTCTAGGGACGTATTTATCATTATGTTGTATTGCGTACTATTTAAATCGCATAGGTACACAATGCAGAACTTCACCATCATGTCGAGAAAAAACCTACATATAGATTGATGAGTCATCGCTACCACCATTTGTTTTTATATTTATATATCAGATGCTAAATAGTTTGATATTTTCAGTAATTCTATTGAATTGTTTCAATTAGACTTCTTGGGTTACTCGTCGTGCTGAAACTAAGCCGACAACAATGTCGTGATCAAAATCGTGGTACTGTTATTATTGTTAGTGCCTATAGAGGAAGTAGTCAACAACAGTATAATGATGATTGTGCAAGTTGTGATAGTGGAATTTAACGACAATCGAACAGAAATGAAGAATATGCAGTAGAAAATCACTTTCATGTTAATATTTTAAGCAAATTACAATCAAATGATAAACGAAATCGAGGACCACTCGTAAGATATCTTTTGTCAGAATCAATAGATGATTAAAATGATTTATTATTTTTACAGACAAGGAGTTTAGCGCCGAGACATATATAGTCAAAAAGATTCGACATTGAAAAGAATCCTAAAGAAGATCATCATTCATTTGTCGAACGGTAAGAAAATTAATTAAAGTCCCTTGTGACAAATCTTACTTTCATTCTTTTGATTCTATAAAAATTTGAACAAGACATATTTTTTCAAAATGTTCAAAATACAAACTTAAGCAAAATCTTTTGAGTATTTGTAAACGACTTGGGAGACAATGCTTGTCATAATACCATCAATACTAATATCATTTAATATTGACTGGTATCGATATTGTGAAATTCCTAATAGACATTATCAAAGTCCGAAATAAATTAGGGTTCGAAACGAATATTATACGCAAACCAATTCTGTGCTACGCTTTTTATATTCGATTGCAATATAGACATTTGGTGTGTATGCGGACATCCCCAAAAGCGCAGCTTAGAATGGATGTCTGCATTTTTTACAGGTATCAGTTTTATTTCGATGTATCTAATAAGACAACCTTCCAGACATGAATATTGATTTTGATATTCGAACCTTGTACATGTGGCAAATCCCAATGAAGTAAGAAGAACTTCAGAAAAATAAGGGTTTCTAAGCTTTCTCTACAGAGTTATAACCATTTTACTGATATTTTAGCCTATAACACAGTATCGACGAAGGAATCGAGTGATAATATTTTGATCTGAAATTTTGTCCATAAATAAGACTGCTTGCAACTAGGATATCCTGAGAATTTCAGATCAAGAGAATGTTTCTTTCACAAAATATTGGATTTCCAAAATTTACTCATATTCAATAAAAGATTTGAGAATCTCATGTTTTTTGGGAATTTAGTATCTTATCAAGAGAACAATCTTTTGAGATGAAGTTGTTAAGAAATTCTAGTTACAAGAAGGCGTATCTATGGAGAAAATTTCAGTGAAACGGCTATAAATTTTTAGGAAAAACCAAGGATCTCTTGTCTTTTTATGGATTTTATTACCTCATTGAGGTCTATCTTATGGTTGATGTTGGGCAGGTTCTCTCGTAAGCAATTTTTCTAGTTATATTCTTCGAAAAATTCTTGTACTTCAGATAGTCCTATCTATTATTTAAAAAAACCTGTCCGAATGATTTTAATGATATAAAAATATGCAAGAAAATAGAATTACTAGCATGTATACGTATAATTTGTTGTTTTTAGTAGTGATCAACCACCAGCTAGTCCAATTCAACAACTTAAAGGTAAAATTGGTTCATCTCAAGCTGGTTCGACTTATTCTATTTAACGTCAATCATCACATGTAGGATTAAAAACAAAAAATCTTTTGACTAATATTTGCGTCCTTTCTTTTTAGTTATATTATGCCTAGAAATTAGTACGTGAAAATAGTCGATAGAAAAAAATAATGGATCAGCAAACGAATCAACATCAATACTTAATCAAGATCCATCGAATACATCATTTGATGAAGAAAACACTGAAGCTCTTATACATTCACAGATCGAAGAATATACTGAAAATTATTCTGAACTAACTGACAGACCTGTTAAAGTAGATATTCAATATAAAAAAAATATTAAGAAGTATTTATCTACTTTATTTTTCTAATAATAGGAAGCATTAGAAGATTTAACATCTTTTCGTACATCAAGCTTTGATCAACAAGCAATTATTGTTCGACGATTATTTACTAATGTCTTTAGAAGCTAAACCACGTGCATCTAATAGTTGTTGGACATTTACTTGATGCTGTACTTAATGAAGATATTTTATCTACGGAAGCTTTTCTTTCTGGGTATAGTCTTTGAAATTGAATTCAATCAGAAAATGTTTTAAAAAATTCCTTTTTTAGTTTTAAAATGATTGTTAAAGCTGTACCAAATTATGCTGTTAATATTCCTCTCATTCGGTAATATATTGGTGAAATTATTGATAAGTTTTATCATTTAGAATAAAATACTTATTTTGATTTTTTTTTGTATTTCTTTAGGCTGCATTTATCGGTGCTCCTACTTCAAATATGACACTACCTAAACCCATTTTAGAATATGTTCCTGACAATAAATTTAAACAATTACTTCAATCTATTATTCGATATGCAATTAAACTTTCAGTAAAATTTATATATTTTTAATTAAAAAACTGATCTACAGAGTTCTTCCAAGTAAAACTTGTAGAGTCTGTTCGAACCCAACCGTTGGTACTCTAATACTAAAATTCAATTATGATCACTGCCAAAATGCCCTGAGAAATGTGTGGAGTGTCGTAGTTGCTGAATCTAAATGAGCGAAAAAAGACAGATTAAAACAATTATTGGGAATATCATAAGTACAAATGTAGTTGGGGTACCAAAATTTCGAACCCAGGGAGCTATAACCCCGAGACCAACAAGACCATAAGGGTGGCCGATTGGAAGATTTTTGCTAAAACTGACAAAATTTTGTTGAGAGGTGGTCGAGTCTTTGCTTCTTCTCAAAACGCTCCTGACAATATAAAAAAATTAAAACGATTAGGAACAATAGGCAAGGATGTGATAGAAATAACCAGATGAACAGACTATATGCCACTAATTGATCGAAGAATGCAACGGTGACGGTGCACAGTACTACTGGCGGTGTCGATCTTATATAGAGCGCTGCACTGGCTTTAACATGCACAAATAGATTAACTGTGACTTGAGATTAATTTCTTTTTTTTTTATACTTTGCCGAAATTCTCAAGTCATCTGAGGGAGGCTCATAATCTGGAATATTCTTGTTCGAATTAATTCAGCCAACGAATATCTTGGTTCCAGTTCGAACAACTTTTTCTCTCGTAGCTCCGGACGCGCGCAACACAAATACTGTAACCTCTAAGATGACCCTAATTAAAGAATCATATCGTCAATGACACCTAAGTTTGGTCGATTAAAAACGACGAACGATAAACCAAGGGTTTTTCTCTGCGCAACAGCTGAATATAATATGTTATATGGCTATGTTTTTCACTCGAGAAGAACGAACACAAAGAAAATAAAATGAGTCTCGACTGGAATTCGAACTGAGGTAGTATCCACAACTGGTAACTAGCTAGACGCTTTAACCAACTAATCTATCAAGACACAGTCTTAACTCAATTCAAATTCGATATGAACATAAATTTAATCTTTTCGAGTGAAAAACATAGCGTATAACATCTTGCATTCACAACGAAGAATAAAATTAAGTCCTGTCATATATACATTTATATATATATATATATATGCAACAGCTGAGCTTTGCTCACGACTGATTTTTAGACCTCTAGGCACACTGCAAAATAATTGTAATAGCGACAGAAATAAATTCTTTAAAAACAGAGTTCCCATCGATTCCATAGGTTTTTCTTCAAACGCTTTGCATTAAACGTATTGAATTATTTCTAGTATCAATCGCGTATACAAAAATTTTGGCAATCATCCGATTTCATTTTAAATGAACATCAGTGCCACAAACCAAAGAAAGTCATTCTCCACATGCTGATTCACAACTTGCTCAATTATTTCAATCTGTTAATGATCAAAGTACAACAATCACTGATCCAGAAATCATAACATTTATTCGCGAGATTTAAAGTTCATTTATTTTCATTCTTTGGTTTTTTCTTCAATTTTAATGGTACACGGATTCAAATGAAAAATATTATATACGAAATATTGTTTTATCTTATTTGGAAGCATGTTCAATTAATCGTGATCCACAAAAGAAAATCCAAGGAGATATTGCAAAACAACGAATGACTATTCTTAACGCTATTATTGAACATAAACTAGAAGCAGAAATTCAAGTAGTTTATGCCATTCAAAATTTTGTCAATAAGCTTGAACATCTACCAAGTATGTTGAGACAAAATTTCAATTTTTAACATCAATTATCACTGGAAGATAAACAGCATTTGCTAATCTCATGAGTAACGGTTAGTTTTGTTAAATTATACTATACTGTTTTTAATCATCATCAATGTGATCCAATAATTGTGGGTCGTTTAACATTTAATATCCGAGTCGATTCGTATTCTACTTCGAATTCCAATTTCAGAAGATTTAACTTTAACCAATTCAATAGAAGGAAAGAAATTTGGACTCACTCGTACTCCTCTCCACGCAGACCATGACAGATATTATTGATGTATGAACAAAGACAGTAGGCCACCATAGTTGAGTGGCTTGGTTGTTTGATCAGTATCTATAAGATACTCTATTCATACCTCAGTACCATCAGCCATGGAAGGATTCTGTACAAGTCACTAGCAACTGTTTGTTTCGGATCATCCGTCCAATAGAATGCTGACTACGTTGTGCGACGTTGTGACATACACATGTTCTTGTGGTTAGTTAGAGCTAATGGAAAGTTCAGAAAATTGAGTTCAAGAACTCTGTGTCTGGCTCAGTGTTTTGTCTAGCATGATGACAGAAAGATTGACTCTTCCGACATAAAAAATCTGAACAAAACACTAGCCAAACTGGCCTTATGTCCCGTGCTATAAGTGGTGTTATTTGCAAAGAAGATAACGGGTCCATGAATCTACCAGTAGATAGCACCCTATATCGAAAGGCACGGGTATTATTCCACCGATCGTATATTAATTGAACTACTGCCTTATTTCATTTCCGAGTGATTAAGTAAAACGGTGGTGAAGAAACATGTCCTAAAATAGAGAGAATCGAATAATATCCTTCTGATTAGCAACAATAGCTACATCGTGTTTCACATTTTAATCCTACTGAAACCGGCTTTTTTCAAACAAGAGACAATAAATAGGTAAAATTGTCATCTTTCATTGAATCATATTCATAGGGAATGTGATATATTGGCGAGCAAAACTCGAGTATATACTCGTGTCTGCTATCTGAATACAATGGAAGATTATTAGCATTTATTGTAGAGACTATATTTTTAACATACTTTCTTGCTCTTTCCATTGGTCTATTATATAAAAAGATGCCATAAATGTCAACTAATCGTAACATTAAACTGCCAAGAATTCATTTCAAGATTATTGTTGAGATTTAATAAAGACGAACCATGAGAATATCATTTAAATTCAATCTATCTAGCAATTCTTTTCGTAAAAACATTTATCTATAGAAAATGATTCTCTGAATGAAAACAATAATTTTTTTTTATTATAAAAATGGCTCGACTACTATTCAATATATTCTATGATACAGAATGTATAAGTGAAGATGCATCTTTTGAATGGCTTAAACATCCAGACCAATCTGAGATTGAAGATAAAAGGAAGTTTCTCAGAAAAAGAAAACCAAATGAATAAAATCTATCATTTAAAACATGGCGTTGTTGAAATATCAATAAAAGCTTTTTTTCTTGGTTACAACAAGCTGAAACAGAAGTTGAAGAAGGCAAAGAGGAAGAAGACAATTAAATTCGTATCAGCAAATAAGTGAACACCAAAATCCTGTGATGGTTTGTTATTTTCATTCTGTCTTCCCTCTTTGTTCTTACATAATGTGTTTTTTTCCTCATTCTTTTGATCATGTAGTGTTATGTCTTGTCTTGTCGTCCGATTTAAAATTCATAACCTGTACCTTTTCTCATTATTTCTTCTTCCTGTGTTTGGTTTGTTAAATTGAACTATCCATATGATTTGCTTCTTTCTTATGTTATTCATTCATCAATTGTGATCGTTATATTTCTATTGCTGAAAATTTGATTTGGATATGTGTGTGGGTGTGATTTAAGAGAAGGCCCACACACTTACAACGAACAATAAGAACATTATAAAAGATATATATGATTGTAAATCAAGACAAAACAGATTTCATGTGGTCTTTCGAGCTATTATATTTCATTTCGCTTAGCTTGCTTTTTTTCTACCTATCTGTCTATCACTTAAAAAGAATAAATAGCAACAGCACGAAAAAATCTCATTTGTTCTGATTAGCGTAAGTTACGTTACATTATTTTAAAATCTAACGTAAGCACTTGTGAGTCATAAGATCTTGTCAATAATGCAAGTTAGTAGCTACATTCGCTTGGTTATTCGTCGACCATATTATTTAAGAATATTTTCGCTCTAAAAATGTTGTAGTTTAATTTCAGTAACGTCTATCAAGCTAACGCTGAGCTATTTTCATAATTATTATTATTTGGCTACAAAAAAAAAAGCCAAAGTTTCGATGAAATCGCCATAATATATCCAGAAATGTAATAAAGAATTTCATTTAAGTAAAATAAGATTTTCGACAACATTAAAATGCCGGGTGTGAGTATGCATGTGGTTGAAGAGAAAACCATAATCCACATTCATACCAACACCTTTTACTTGAAAATTCAATATCTTGAGAAAGAAACATTCATTTCGGTTGAACATTTTAGAACATTCTAAAGGTCTTTAGGCCTATCTATGGGCAAAATGTCAGATTGAAATTCCGTCATTCATTTTTTCGGGTAATATCTTTCAATATGTCAAAAATTCAGTAAAACAGTCTAAACTTTTGACTAATAGGTCATGGACCCATATTCTTTAGGGATTTTTCTAGCCTCAGCAAGTCTAACTTGAGGATACCATCCTCATCAATACCTTCGCCAAGGTAGTGTTACGAGAAATGCAGCAAACATACCTAAATACATGTACGTTTGATTTACTTGATAGAAAACATTTTAAGATTATGTACAGTTCAGATAGAGAGTTCTAGGACATCCACAAGTGTTGGAAATGTCCACATGTCACGCACTGGATTTTCCTAACATGCGTATTATTTTTTTCCCAGCTTGTTATCATATGTTCTATATTGGAGATTTCCCAATATATTCATTTACGTCATACTGGGTGTTCTCCAACATGCTTATGTATATATGTGTCCATGCTTCTTTCTTTTTGTTCTTCATCCTTACATTCATTAGTTCGTTGGTTCTCTTATTAGTTCTTTTCTTCGTTCTATTGTATTGGTTTCTTTCTATATCGTGTCAAGTGTTGTACGAATAAACGAACTCATTCACACAATCACAGAATTTACATTTACACATGAATACTTTATACTCATCAGAATATATAAGCGTTTAATTCTCTTTAGAGATATGTCAACCAATACTTTGAATCGTCACTCTCCGACTATTGCTATCATCGGTGGCGGACTTGTATGCGATGAATTTGATTTTCTACGTTAAAAGTCTGTACATTTCTAGGGTGGTTCTTTGTGTGCATGTTTCTTCGCAAAACATGGTTTTCAAATACATCTTTTCGAGCTCAGACCAGGTCTTTCTTTCGTTTTGTTGGATTCAACAAGTATTTTATTTGAGTCTTTAGACATACGCGCTCAAGAGACAGTCAGAGGACGCAGTATCAATATGGCATTATCTCGTCGAGGTCGTGATTCTCTTGCCTACGTCAATTGTGAAGAGATGATTGCTAGAACTGGCGTACCGTTGTATGCACGAATGATGCACGATGAAAATGGTAGCACATGTGTATTGCCTTATGGACCATATGGAATGGATTCTAATCATGTTCGTTGTCCAACATATATCTACTATATTCTTCTTGCATGATCATTTCATTCATGTTTTAGATGATTCTATCGGTTCAACGTGATACTCTCAGCAAATGTTTACTTGACGGTAAACAATTCTGACTTTCTCAATGCTTATTACAAACAGTAGTCGTGTCTCTCTAGAAGCGGGCAAATCGTCTAATATTACAATTCACTTTGAGCATAAATTTACCGGTTGGAATAGAAATACGAAAGAAGTGTCTTTTTACACGTACGTTATTTGTTAAATAAATTATTTAAAAAATCTTCCAAAATGTAGTTCTTCCGGTAAGCAAGTCCATTTCTATGCCGATTTTATTATTGGCTTTGATGGGTAAAAATAAGAAAGTAAGACATATTTAGAATGAGTTTTATTGAATTTCATTAGATCCTATTCATCTGCTCGAACGGCTATGATGAAAACGGAGAGAATAAACTTCACTCAAGAATATCTTGAATTGTACTATATGGAAATTGACATTCCTCCAAGAAATGGTCAGGTATGAATTCATGAATAAAGACTAGTGTCAAAATTTGTCTCTCTTTCACGCAGTTTGCTATGCCTGAAAATTATTTACATATATGGCCACGGCATAAATTTGTTATTATTGCTTCACCCAATCAAGACAAATCGTTCAATGCTACACTTATTTTGCCGATGTCTATTTTTAATAGTCTGTCGAAATTTGAAGAAATTTTACAATTTTTTCAACAATATTTTCCCGATATTCTATCATTCGTCGGATCAGATGATATTATCAAGACATTTCTTTCGTCAAAACCACGTTCTCTAATCACTATTAAATGTTCAACATATGTGTCTTCGACTGGTGACATGCTTTTAATGGGTGATGCAGCTCATTCGATGGCTCCATTCTATGCCCAAGGAATGAATGCGGCATTTGAGGATTGTCTCGTCTTATTCGAAACATTAAAGCAAACCAATTTTGATATTCAAAAAGCGTTCATTATTTACAAGTGAGTAAACACGATTTGATCTACGCAAATGAAGATATTTAGCTAAGGAATCTTCATAGTACAGGTAGATTTTTGTATGATGGCGATCTCAATAGTTCATGAATATTTCTGTCAGATTTCATTGATGTAACTTGATCTTGTTGTATTAAAGAGTTCTCTTTTAAATCTCTCCCATGGTATATACTTACTTTTGTCTTCTTTTTATTGCAATCTATGATGACAGATTGGAGAAAACAGTAGAACTTGTGTGAAATCGATAAATCTGTTGGATTTATTATGAAAGTAAAAAGCAGATTTTAGGAAGAGACAAACATAGAAGGATATAATCCTTCGCTCGGAACTGAGAAATGGCCTATTGACCGATTGGACTTCATTCAAACTGATGAAAAATAGCTAAAAGCTAATCAATTGCTATTGCGTCTCAAATCAGTGAGCAGTTGATATAATTTCTCATAAAGATTAAATTTTGTATGAATTTTCATAAAGAGCAGCAGCGACTTCTTTTGAAGGAATCATTCCTTTTTTCGTTTTTCCATCTGGAAAAAATAACTGTTGCGTAGGTTTCAACCGAAAACAGTATCAAAATTTGAATAAGTTTCAAAAAATCTAATAGGTAAAAATCCAGTCGCTGTCGATTCTATTGATTCTCTCAATCGATTCGAGGTCTGCCACAACTTTCTCCTGAATATTCTCTTATAACAGTCTTACTGTGTTGAAAACGCTTCACGTTTTTTTAACTAAAGCATTTAGTTGTAAAAGCACTCTGTATAGCAAGAGTAAGCAGTATTATCTTCGTACCAAGTCGCAATGGCTATATAATTAGTTTACATTATTGATTAAAAAAACAATGAAATTCAAAATATTCGTCGCTGTCGCTGCTGTCAAAGGTGTCGCTCAATTAAAATCTTTTGACATGAACTTACTTATGCTATTAAGTGGTGCAAAGTGACATTAAAAGAGGCTTTGATTAAAGAATTGAAATGTTTATTAGAAAGTTGCGCATTCTGAACTGTTAATTTCTCTCATCTATGTAAGAAAAATCTGACAAGATATGCATGAAATATTGAGAAGACCGCTATCTAAATTAAACACCCGTTAAATAGTAATTGTTTAGATAATATGAGTAATTTTTCGAAAGTAATTTGCAAGGGGGAAACAGCGGAGACTTCACGACTGAAGTCTCATGAAGTCTTCTGGAAGCTTTGAAATATATTTCGTGCATGAAAATTCACAAGAAACCAATGAAATTGTTTTGTTTTCGACAGTCTTATTTTAGTAGAAAGATGAACTTTTTATTGTTTTTTTTAATGCACTGGAAAAAATTCAAGCTTGTTTGATCTTAGAAAACATGATAATTAATA